TTTTGTCAGTAAGAGTAAAGAAGGATAGAAGCTTTATGCTGTAAAGTTTTTGTTGTTGTTGTCTTTGTTTTTCAAGACAGGGTTTCTCTGTGGCTTTGGAGACTATCTTGGAATTGGATCTATAGACCAGGCTGGTCTCAAACTCACAGAGATCCACCTGCCTTTGCCTCCTGAGTGCTGGGATTAAAGGTGTGCACCACCACCACCAGCAGCTGTGTTGCAAATATTTTAATGAGGTATTTAATTCATTGAACTAGAAAGAAAAAAGCATGATCAAACAGACAATAAAAAGTGATTCTAAGAAATCACACATGCACACAAAATAAAATCTCCAAATATTTTAAAGCATATCCTAGCAACTCTCAAGAACAAATCCATTGCAACAACCCTTTGAGGGTGGGATATTCATTCTTCTCAATGGCATAAGAAATGATGAGACTTGGAATTTGAAAATAAGGTGTTTGGTAAGGAAAGACTTGGGGTTGAAAAACAGAGAGTAAGTGTCCTCAGCACTTTCTACAAGGGAGCTTAACATGGCAGTAGAATCATTGTCAGGCACGAATTGAAACTAACAGCATTTGAAAGAGCAGAAACAGGAAGGGGTGACGAGTTGATAGCCAGAGGAGTAGATAGAGAAGCAACGACAGTGAAAGACAAATCCAAAAACAATAAAGCTGTCACAGGAATAAAGGAAAATCTTTAGGGGAATTAAAGAAAACAACATATCAACTTTTGAAAAACAGTTTGGAAACACAGGGCAGGGTGGGTACAGCAAAGAAGAAACAGAGGCAAAGAAAGGAAAGTATTGAAAGCAAATGTTCTGCATTTCCAATGGTTACTGGAGCTATGAATTCCTAAAGAACCAATGAAACAAAGCAGGGTGCAGTTTATAATGATTTGAAATTAAGTAGTTGCACCATAAAAATCACTGTAAGTGACACAAATCTGTAAAAACCTGGAATAATGTTTTTATACTATGATTGATAGAAAAAAGCTTACTGTCAGATCAAACTGGGATGCACAGAAAGGAATTATTTTTCTATATTTGAATTTATAATGGATTTCATCACAATAATTTCAATAACAATTAGAAGTACACTGAGATAATCATGGTAAAAATGTCCAACATTGGGACAATCAATCTTTATTAGATGGTGTAAAATTCACTCATATATTTCTAGTTAAAAGTCGCTTCTGTGAGCTAAACATATACAATGGAAAAAAGAAAGCATCTTCAACAAATGGTGCTGGCATACCTGGATGCTGACATGTAGAAGAACGTGGATAGTTCCATGTCTATCGCCATGCACAAAACTTAAGTCTAAATGGATCAAAGACCTCAACATAAATCCAGCCACCTTGAACCTCTTAGAAGAGAATGTGGGAGGTACCTTTGAATGCAGTACAGTACAGGAGACTGCTTCCTGAGCATAACACCAGTAGCACAGGCACTGAGGTCAACAATTAATACATGGGACCTCCTGAAACTGAGAAGCTTCTGTAAGGCAAAGGACACAGTCAGCAAGACAAAAAGGCAGCCCTCAGAATGGGAAAAGATATTCACTAACCCCACATCTGACAGAGGGATGATCTCCAAAATTTACAAAGAACTCAAGAAGCAAGTCTCTAAAACACCAAAGGATCCAATTAAAAAGTGGGCTACAGAACTACATAGAGAATTTTCAATAGAGGAGGCTAAAATGGCTGACAGGCACTTGAGAAAGTGTTCAACATCCTAGCCTTCAGGGAAATGCAACTCAAAACAACTCTGAGATACCATCTTACTCCTGTCAGAATGGCTAAAATCAAAAACACCAATGACAATTTATGCTGGAGAGGATGTGGTGAAAGGGGAAAACTCCTCTACTGCTGGTGGGAGTACCAACTTGTACAGCTACTTTGGAAATCAGTGTGGAGATTCCTCAGAAAAATGGGAATCAGCTTACCACAAGACCCAGCAACTCCACTCTTAGACATATGTCCAAAAAATGCACATTTATACAACAAGGACATCTGTTCTGCTATGTTTATAGCAGCATTATTTGTAAAAGCCAGAACTTGGAAGCAACCTAGATGCCACTCAACTAAAGAGTGGATAGAGAAAATGTGGTATATTTACACAATGGAGTACTATTCAGCAGAAAAAAAACCAATGGAATCCTGAAATTTGCAGGTAAATGGATGGCACTATTGAAACCATCCTGAGTGAGGTAACACAGTCACAAAAAGAGAAACATGGCATGTACTGTCTCATATATGGATTTTAGACATAGATCTGGGGAGTGCCAGCCTACAATCTTACTGCCAGAGAGTCTGGGAAACAAAACCTTCATTCGGGGGCTGATGGAAGCAGAGGCAGACTCCCACAGCTAATAAATGAACTGAATTCAAGGAACCCAGTGACAGAGAGGAAGGACTGGTGACCAAAGGGGTTAAGACTGGGCTGGTTTAACCCCCAGAAACAGCTGACCTGACAAGGGTTAGCTCTCGAATCCCATACTGATACCTGGGAATCCAGCATGGGACTGATCAAGACCCCCTGAATGTGGGCATCAGTGAGGAGGCCTAGGCAGTCTATTGAGTATTTATCCCTTGCATACAAATGGACTTTGGGTACCCATTCCACAATGAGAGATGCACTCTCATCCTGGACTCTTGGGGGGAGGGTCTAGGCCTTGCCCTCGGTGAAACGACAGACTATGGACACACCCAGGAAGGACCTCACCGTTCCTGGGAAATGAGGTGGCAGTGGGGGGATTGGTGGGAGGGCATGGGAGGAGGAGAGAGAAAGGGAGAGGGACCTGGGATTGACATGTAAAGCAACCTTGTTTCTAATTTAAATTTAAAAATAAAAAAAATTTAAAAGTTGATTCTGTAAATTTCTCACAATTACAATGACATAATTTCAAAATAATGATAGCATGAAGTTAATATTGTAGAATCACTTATAGCAGCAAAATATTGTAAAAATTCCGTCTTCCAATAATAGATTTTACTTATTTGTATGATTGACTGAACATACTATAAAAGATTTTTTAGCTAGTCATATGGAAAAATGATTGAGAAATATTACATAGAAAGGTATAAATGCATCAGTAGAAGTGTAGTTTTGGGGAAAGGTGTTTGTGTTTGTGCAGTGAGAGTGTAGAAATGAAAATGTGAATATGCAGATAAGTGGATAAACATAGATGAACAGACAGATGGGTGAACACATGTGTGTTGTGTCAGAAACACAGAGGACATGTTTGCGTTTTGAAATGTTAGAACTCATGAAATAAATAATATATTTAAAAGCTTTGTCAGTTTTGTTGGTGGAAATTCTCCAAATGTCACAATTTTGCTTGATAGCTGCCTGTTGGCAATCAGGCTGTTTTATTCCAGTCTTACTTTCTAATATCAGTTCTCATATCTGCATTAGAATTCTCATAATAGCATATTAAAGTGCAGATTACAGATGGGTTGTAGACATCAGAGAGGACACCGTGAAGGCCAAGGCAGTGCTAGCGCTAATACAGGCATAGGTAAGAATCTCTGGGGTCCAGATAAGGAGTTTTATGAACCATACCATGGTCAGGCAGTTATGAAATACAGGTCTGTCCAGGTGACAGGCCATTTGACAGCTGATTTGAAGTACACAGCTTGTCACATGCAGGGCACTCAAGCTTCAACCTGGGGTGGGAGACAAGAGTTCTGTAGACCAATTTTCCTGAAGGAGGCTCATGACAAGCGACCAGTGACTAGTCATCACGCCCACCGCAGTAGATCTTGGAGTCCTCTTCTCCTTAGGTCCATATGGAGAGTCTAGCTGGTATGATTGATAAGCCCATGTGTCAGAGTTGATCTGATCTATTTCTACGTGTCATTATTTATCGCCATGAATGCTATTTAATATTTTGAGCCTTCAGATGTGCTGGCAGATGGTGGTTGTTTACTGTGTCAACAAAATGAAGAGCCTTTCTTTCTTGGCACGTGTACCCAGAATGAAGCAACTTGGGCCAAAGTCTTTACTTTCTGAAGTGGAGTCATTCCAGGTGAAGCTCTGCCTGCATGGGGCATGGGGCTAACCCTGCTGTTAGAGGTGTGGGTGAGCCAGCCCTGATGTTGCGAGCATAGGAAATATGGCCTCTTGTCTCGTCTCGTCTGCCAGGCCCAGCCCATTCTCCTCAGCGTGGAAGTAGATGAGTGGATGGATGGGCAGAACGTTGCCTTCTTTTTATGTTATTACACTTTGGTTTTAGTTAACATTTTTTTGTGTCTTTCACAGCATTCATCTTAAAAACATTCCACATTCTCTTCCCGTCCCTTTGTATCTGCCCTCTGGCCTTGCAGCCTCTCCCCCAAAATAAAATAAAATAAAATAAAATAAAATTTAAGAGGAGAAAAAGAACAAAGGAAAAATATCATCATGAAGACTGTAGTGTGGCATGTTGAGTCGTGCAGTAAACCCTTTTACCTATGTATCTTTCCTTGCAACTGTTCGTTACAAAGAGTCATTGGTCTGGTTTGAGCCCTGTGGTTCCTGCTACACCATCCATGCTGGTCCCTCCCTGGGACTCCTCTTGGATATACTTTTGTTTCCCTGAACTTTAGAGATGCTGAAACTCTGGTTCTGCAGAACCAGTCCTTTCTCCTGATCCAGCAGATCACGGGGGTGGATGCTGGGTAGGGGTTGGTGGGCTAACTCATAACCCTGGTTCTGGGCCTGGTGAACTTGCCCGCTCTCCCCTGTATTCATCACTAGGGGGAGCTCTCCAGCATTGCCCAGGCTAGTTCACCCCTTGCAGGTTTGAGCAAGGGGCCGGGCCACTTCTGCTCTCCTTCTTCAGGGTGGGCTTTCCCACACTTACAGCTACAAAGCCAGCTCTACTGTGAGGTACAAGGGCCGCTCTCCTGAGTGCTGCAACCGTTGAGGGGCAGGGACAGCCCTCCTGCTCCTATGACCTCAGGGACAGCTCTCCTTTACACCTGCCACAAGGGGAAAGGGGTGAGGGAGAGTCTCTCCCCTGCCCACACCACCATCTGGCAGACGAGACTAGAGGAGAGGCCATATCTCCTGTGCTCACAACATCAGGCCTGGCTCACAGACACCTCTAACAGCAGGGTGAGCTCTATTGTGCTGCCCAGGCAAGGTACAGGGTCCACTTCTCCAACTGCTGTGACTGATAAGGGGGTGGGTTAGCAGCTTTCCCTTGCCCTCATTCCGTAGCCAGCGATCCCACTCCCATACTCTCAGGGCCAGATCGCTTGCAGCTCTGCCCACAGGGTCATCTCTACTGTGCTGCCCAGGCAAGGCACAGGGCCCCTGCTTTCCTGAGTGCTGGAACTGGTAAGGGGAAAGGTCAGCACCCTTGTCCCTACCTCCATACCACTGCATGACAGACAAGTGGCGGAGACGGCTCTAACATGCCCACAACTTCGGGGCTGGCTCACCCATACCTCTGCCAACCTGATTGGCTCTATTTTGCTGCCCAGGCAAGATACAGGGCCTGTTCTCCCGAGTGCTGCATCTGGTGAGGGGCAGTGGCAGCCCTCCCGTTCTTAAGACCTCAGGGACAGCTCTCCCTCCTGCCTCCGGCATAAAGGGGTGGGGGGAGAGCATCTCTCCCCTGCCCACACAACCCTATGGTAGGTACGCCCCTACCACTACGCCACAGAAGGATACACCAGCTATGCCGCTCTCACACCCTCAGGACTGGTTCACCTGTGCCAGTCTACAGCGTCAACGCTACTGTGCTGCCCAGGGGAGCCTTCTTTATGTAACAAAACAAACAAACAAAACACACGGGGGTAACTTCCATTCATCTGCTAAGAGGAAACCAGTGGTCGGTACTGAGTTTAGAGGGACCAGAATGACACATGAAATATGGTATGTAAAAGAATTAGATGTTTTGAATCGTGAACTACATAAACAGAATAAAAACGAAAACCTAAATAATTTTTTTAACCCTAGGCAGTTAGTGTGTAGGTATCTCACACGTAACTCCCACATGAGTCAGAACAAGCGTCAGAATCTTTCTACCTGGTTCACTAATTTGCAGCAGCTCCTTCTTCATTCCCCGTTGGTGTTTTCAACCTTAGGACACTCAGGGAATAATGTTCATCACTCAAGGATTTTCACCATCTGAAGCTGAAGTCAAGCTCAAGGGTAGTGCGATGTTTTCGACACTGTGATGGTGCAACTATTGCTGATTTCCCCCGATCCAGAGGATGCTCAAATGTCCGTATACTTAGGAGCTTTGGGTCACAGAAGGTCTCTTTTTAATTTATTTTTTCATATTCCATGTATCCCTTTTCCCTGGCATTGCAATAGGTTTCTATCATCAAAATAATCATCCCGCTCTGAGCCAAGAAAGACAGAACACCTCACTCACCCTAGGGTCACAGAGGCTGAAAACAGAAGTGTGATGAGCACGTCTTGAGCATGTTTAATGCCTGGGCCAAGCAGCATCTCAAAAGAATTATCATGGAGAAGAGCTTTTTATTGCTTTAATATGCTAACCCATAAAATATACTTTAAAATATGCTTTACATTTTATCGCTAGGATTTCTTTTTCTGTTTTGGATTAGGTATTATTATTTTTTTAATTTTGAAGGGAGGAAACTGAGCAAATATACATTTTCACTCATACTTCACCCACATTTTTCCAGATCAATTAGCAATTTGTTTTTTTTAAATGCATGCTTGTTGTCTGAGATGTGCTACATTTGTTTACGCTGTAGTATACTTGTTTAATGGTGCGAAGATGTGTTGCATTCTTTTATGTTGCCTTTGTTTAACTCTGTGAAGCTATGTTGCTTTGCCCATCTAGAACACGTAATTTGTCTAATAAAGAGCTGAACAGTCGGTAGCTAGGTAGGAGAGTGGAGTGGGTGGGACTGGCAGGCAGAGAGAATGAAGAGGAGTAATCTCGGGAAGAAAGTGAGGATCAAGAAAAGGAGGAGAGGAGGACACCAGGGACCAGCCACCCAGACGTGCAGCCAGCCATGGAGTAAGAAGGAAAGAAGGATATATAGAATAAAGAAAGGGGGAAAACCCAGAGGCAAAATGCAGTTTAAGAGAAATGGGATAACTTAAGTTATTTAAGCTGACCAGAAACAAGCCAAGCTAAGGCCAAGCATTCATAAGAAAGAATAAAGTCCTTGTGTATTTATTTGGGAAGTGCTTTTAGCACCCCACCCCCACAAGAAAGAAACAACTACATGCTCTTACTTTAGATTTAGTGTACAAACCAACAAATGATATTTCCCAAGCATTACAGTTTTCTTACTTACACAGCTGGCACCATAACCCTTGAATCCAACAGTCGGAGTTAATGAAAATAAAACTTCCAGAAATATCTTGGATGTGTTAAGGATCTATAGCCTATCACCATACTCATTAAAATTAAAAGTATTACCCTTGAATATTGTTTTAAGGATTACGGTCCTTTATTTTACTCACAACTTTTTTCTCTATGTTTTTATTTTCAGTGTTTATTATAGTGCTCGTTGTCTTCTAAGCGGCAAGTGGCTCAGAATCACTTGTGTTGTGGACTGCCATTATAAAATCCCACGGTGAGTGGGTGACAAACTGCGGTCTTGTGCTCTTTACACTTATAGAGAAGTTGTGAAGGCAAAGATTGGGTACCAGCCCGTACAAGGCCTACTGAGCACTCTTCCTGGCTCTCTTTGGAGTGTCTTCAAGTAGTGAAAGAGGCCAGGACTTCTCAGGCATTTCAACTGCAAGACCACTGACCTCATTTGCAAAGCCACACTCTCCGTTTAATCACTTCCCCCAAAGGCCATATTTCCAACAAACCATTACTCTGAGTGAATTTCAACATGATAGTTGAAGGAAACGCAGGAGTTCCGCATACACCCAGTGCTCCATTTTTCTGATAATTGCATCTTCTTGCCATCTTACCTCATTTAGAAACTTATCTCATGGGTCACTGGGTTAGAACCTTAATATTTTTCATTTCCTTCTTCCAGATTAACATTAATCAGTGTCACACCCACAACAAGGATACCTTGATGTTGAATTTGTGAGCTCATGTTTGTTCTTGTATAATACAGTTTATCTTCCTTCATGCCCAACTCTGTGTCTTCAAGAAGTTAAGATCTATTCTCTTCTGTTTCTATTTACTGTGTATACACAGTTGAACCATACAACCTTAAGCTTCTGTCCTTTGTACCATTTCTTTCTTCAGAGAAACAACATTGCTTTTGTGACAACTCTCATTTTTCTTAATGTCAGTACGAAAAGGCATATCTAGGCCACTGGAAAAGACACATACTCCATATGGTAGTTGATTGAAAACATTAACATGTCACATCTTCGGTCTTAAGAGCTCACAATCTAATTGTAGAAATATCAAGATATAAAAATAGCTCCAGGACAAAGCAACTGTTCTTCCAGAGACATGCTGTAATTACAAGCCAAGCCCAAGGGACGGCATGACTCATAGCAGGCAGGGGACAACGTAAGAAGGACTGGACACAGTGGAATTTGAAGTGTCTCAGAATTTTATTGGATTTTGCCAGAAGGCAAGAGATGTTTGGGGAACAAAATGGATGGGACAAGTTCATTCCAAAGTTAAGTTCTAATTTAAGGTTAATGACAGGTTGGAGGATTCACGAGCAGACCAATGTGACAAGAAAATAAGGTAGGGCAAATAACTGTCTGCAGTGAAGTATTTGTCTAAAAGTTTACACACTTGGAAGTTGAAGAGAGAGAAGTGCAAGATGTTTTACCAAAACGTATCAGTCAACCCATGGAGAAACAGACGATCGCTCTACATTTCCACTGTGCATTTGCAGATAGAATCACAGTCAAGGTCACAATCTCTCTCAGAGAGAGCAGCTTCCACACAACAGCTCAGCCCAGGCCATGGGCAGAAGAGCACTTAGGTCAGTGGGAAGATTCTGTTGCCTTGACGCTGAAACATTTCTTGAAGTATGTGCAGATAAATGAATATTGGAATCGTGTAAAAAATCTATTCACGGCATTTGCTGGACTTTTGAGAGTTTAATGGCCTGCGTAGGCTCGTGTGTTTGAGCACTGGAGCTGGCTTTGGTGTTTAGGAAGAGTGTGGTTCCTTGTAGCTTAAGGATAAAGCCTCTCCATAGCATGCTCAAAGCCGTGGATTCCACCCCAACGTGACACCACCAAAAAAAAAAAAAAATGGCAGTTTTAAAACTGGCAGACATGCAGATACTCACATCACCTTTTAACTTCAAACATTCCAAATAAAGCGAAGACCTAGATACTGTGTCTCTCATCACACAGACAAGCATATTTCTCAATGCAGGACCCTTTCTTGTTACCCCTCAAAGGCTCCACTTGTACCTTTACCCTTCAGTAAGCAACTCCAAACTTCCATGGGAGCAGGTGCACACTGTGGGCCATGTACCTCTTCACAGGGGCCTGCCAAAACCTCAAAAAAAGAATTTTCATCCAATCAGATTTTCATAACTTGTATAATTTCAATGATTTTCGTTTGCCATACACCTCATTCTCAGGAAACACACTGAAGAACTGTCCTGCTTTGGTTCCTAGTCTGTGTGCACCAGACTCCCTCTTGTTACCTAGAAACACCACACAAGCTCTATTACCTCTCTAGAAACGTGGTTGCCTTGTCAACAATCAAATGTAAGACTTAAAAAATGTTCTCACGGGAGCAAGTGCCTTCTCCTACCAGTAATGAGTTGAGATTAATTTTTAAACGCTTCACTATTTAGTAGCATATTATTAATTTTTATTAAGCATTACCGTAATGGTACATATTGGAATAATTACACAAGTGTATAATATGTACTATTTCAGAGCGGATAACATTTTTAAATCTTCACATATATATTTTTAAATTTTGATATGTATGTAAACATTGTAAGTATGGTTCTTCAGGTTCCATAATCAATAAGAACAGGAACTCTATTCTTTTCAGTAAGGAAAACTTTCAACTCTATGACATGAAAAAGACAAAAAGTATATTATTATAATTTAATAAAGTCAGTAAAATTAACAACATTAGAATTGACTACTAGTGTGACCATATTTTTTCTTACTAGTAAAATTGCAAAGATTTTCATCTTTAAAAAGGGTTGCACTAAGCAACAATATTAAACTGATCTGTTTACTAGAAATAAAATTTATAAATTTAAATATAATACTGTAAATCATAGCTATGCATAATGACTGCATGCATATCACAATCTAACAAAAATATTTAGGAAAGCTTAATCAATGGTGCCTGGATTCTTCTGTGACATTATTTGAACACAGAGAGAAAGGAGCCAGCAGGTTCATGGGTAGGGAAAGGCTTGGACATAGTCCTGCGGGCATTTAGAAAATCTGATCTATAGACAATCGGAAAACACAGCCTGAGTACTGAGGTCCCGAGAACTGTAGATACCATTCTCCAGTTGCAGATTTATCTTTGCTGTACCCTTTAACTTCCATTTAGGATTTCAAATAAGGCTCAGAAAAAGCCCATCCTAAAATACATGGACGGATAAGTTATCTGAATTTTTCAATGTAACAGAACAGTTCGTCAAGTATGTTAAAACTGCCATAATGGATATGTGTGTGGTAATGTAAAGCAGAATACTGAGATATATGCAAAATTATGTGCATATTTATATAATATGTACCACATATATGACATAGATAATGTGCACCACATATTTGACATTTTAACAATGCATATTATATAATGATTGCTCCTTTTCTCTGATACTAAATACTATGCCACTGTTCTAAAACATTACTAAAAATCCTCAGCTCAATGATATGAGAGACTTGGGCCCAGACCATCCTTTAACTTGAAACTGTGGCTCAGGATCATTCTATCTGCTTCTATAACCCTCATTGATTTCTTTGCCTCGCACAGTGTCCAGACATTTTCTAGGCTCAGAGCTAGGACATTATTTCAAATGATTCCAGGCTCAATAGTTAACACGCTTCCAAGGGAAAATCTGAGGGCACACAGACATCATTAGCTGGTTTTTTTTGCAATGCATAGCCATGCTTATTTCTCCTCCCTGTCAGAAGTATCTTTAAATGTGTCTCTGCTGGGGATGTTTGGTCAACGCCTTTGGAAAAAATGCCTGGCTCACAGTATCCAGGAAGCCCACTCTGCAGCTGAAATGACAAGGTTTGCAGGGATCTCCTACTTCAGGCTAGTGAAGGAAAGTATTGAAGTCCTTTTGCGTTTGAATGCTCAATCTGAATAAGCATAGACAGATTGTTTATGGGCATCCCCCATTAATCTTTCCTGTTCCAGTCATCCAAAGTGATCCTGCCTCTTCAGAATGCCTCATTCGATTGCTCACCTAAACTAATAGCTTACCTTCTGAAACACACTCAAGATTGTTGGGGAACTTGACTCTCCCCAGTTTTAGTTGGTGTTTATTGGAATGTGCCTTTTGCCTTGAGATCCCCTTCTCTCAAAGTACAAAGGGAGATGGAAGACCTGTGGAGTTCCTGTCCTAATGACCATCCAATTGTAGTCTTACTGCCATGATTTCTTGGTTCACATTCCTGTAGCCCTCTGTAGACTTCCCATCTGCCTATCCCTCATCCAATTGTATGGAAAGACTGACTTGATCTGAAAAGAAAAATTAGAATGTAAAAAAAAATATCAAAACCAACCAAGTAAATAAAATGGCTGCCCGAGATAAGAAACAAACCAAATAAAACACAGATTTATTGTCTCCCCTCTAAAAACTTATTTTCCTGGTATGTAATGCAACAAACATTAAATACCAGCAGAGCTTGGCTATTATATGCCTTAATTAATTTTTTTAAATCAGGAAAACTAGAACATTTTGCCTTCATGTGTAAGATCTATAGTTGCTGAAAACCCTGATCCGGCAAAGTCTCAACAAAGCAAGCTTTCAATAGTTGGCGTTTACATGTGGGTTAAGCACCAGCAGCAGCATCTACAAAGAATAATAGCAGCGTTCATCTCACCGTTTTCTGACAGGCCTTTAACTGCAACTTAATTACGCTGCTTTTTGTCTGCAAGCTTTGCTCAAGGTTCTTGTGATATTAGAAAGGCTCCTTTAGGTGCAATGAGAAAAAGAGCATTAGGAGGTTTTCTCCTCTGGTTATTTCACAGAATAACATAGCACTTCTTTCTGCCAGCAACTCCCCAAAACTATTTTCAATAAATGGAAGTCTTTTCTATTTTATGAAGTGTAGATTAAACATTAATTAAGTCATAGCTAAGGTCTGCTGTTTTCCTTTTAGACTGATCTTTTTTACAGCTAGTGCTTAAACAACACAAATAAACTCCTATAATGTGTGAACAATGGCACAGCCTCGTGTTTAATAAAAGGGGAGGATGCCTGACTGAGTCAATCCGAACTGTTGTGCAATGATTTCATGGTGAGCAATTATTTCTATTTTCCCTAAAAGGTGGAAGTTTTAAAGGCACGAGAGAGTGTGTATTTTTACAGCTTAGGGGGAAAAATCTTATTAAATGCTTATGGTTTTCTGGGTTTCATTTCTCCTTCTCCAAATAGAGAAAATTGAAAGTGGTCAAACTAAACGTCTCTGGACCACAGTAGCTTCCACATCTTGTGGTCAGCGGTGTCATTTTTTGTTTACTATTATTGGCTTGTCAAGGGCTCCATATGTCCAAATATAATTGAAAATGAAAACAAACTTTTGTATGTGTGCCTTTTTTCTCCCCAGCAAAGTGTCAGCCTGGGAAAATACTCTCTGTGAGGACAAAGTGGGGCTGAC